AGGACCGATACAAGGGTTATCACGAAGTAAAACTTTTTCAAAACAAGCACACACACGAGAAATTTTAAAAAGATGAGCAAGTACCTAAGAGCCCATGGAAAACCATGGATAGAAATGGTGCTAACACCTTCCCTTTCTATAATCTACCCCCCGTACTCAAAAACATCTCGAAAAAGGTTTTTTCTGTTTTTTTTCCTTTTCCTTTGTTGGATGAAATAAAAGTCGGTGGAGACTCTTGCTTACCGTGACATTTTGCAAACAAAAAAACGCAAAACGCAAACCAGTATTAACAGTCGGTTCTGCTACCGTATCATAGTGGGCCATAAGCTCACTTATGCTATAAAAACTATAGTTGACAAACACACATGTGTTAGGGTTTTAGACAATAAATCTGCAAGTTCAATGTGGGTGGCTAAGGCTGTGTTGGAGAAAATGCAAACCTTTGATAATGTTAGGATCTGTGATATAATTCAAGACTTGAGGCAAAATTATTTTGTGGGAATCACGGTGGCTAGGGCATGAAAGGATAAACTCATATCCAAGAAGATGCTTGAAGGATATGAAGACAAACAATATGCAAATTTAAGGAGATATGTTGCAGAATTACATAGAGTGAATCTTGAGAACTCTTTGAGTATTAGTTTAGAAAGACCAAGTCCATCTATTCAACCAAAGTTTGGTTCCTTTTATTTTTGCTTTGATGGTTGTAAAAAAGGTTCATTAATCGTTGTGGACCCTTTGTTGGAGTGGATGGATGTTGTAATACGGCGAGAGAACTGACTTGGTGTTTTATGTTTTATTGCAAATATTGCGGATAGCAAGAGTCGCCACCGACTTTTCTTTTATCCAATAAAGGAAAGGGTGAAAATAACATGAAAGACCTTTCGAGAATTTTCTTGAGTTCGGGGGGTAGGTTATGAAAAGGGAAGGTGCTAGCACCCTTTTCATCTGTAGTTATCTATGGGCTCTTAATTGCTAGCTCACTTTGAAAATGCTTTGTGTTTTCGATAAGTTGAAAAATGTTTGAAGATATTTTGAAAATGATAATTTTGTAATGATTCTCGTATCATTGAGAATGTATACAAAATGTTTTTTGGAAATATTTTGAAAACACCTTAGTACGACAAATTTTTTAATGGTTCTCGTATCGTTGAGAACGCATACAAAGTGTTTGTTTTGAAAACATTTGTTTGAAAATAGAGTGTATGAAAAGATGTTTGTTTGTGATGTGTGAAAATGGTTTTAGTTTGTGAGCAAGCAATTACGAGCAATCTACCTACTCAAAAACTATTTGTTTTTTTCCTCCTCCTTTAGATAGTGTTATTTTACTATTGGTTGGTAGGGATCCATATCATTGGATGTGAGGGACAGACGTTGTTCATCGTACAGTCATAGAAGGCAACTTGTAAGATGTTTTATAAATTATCGTAAGAGACTAAGATCGTTTGCCGAAGGCAATATTGAAGGGTCATCGAGGGACTGCGATCTTTTAATCGAGGGTCTTTTGCTAAAATATCTCACGTTCGAGGGACATGACTTTTTTTTATCCGAGGTAACAACTGAGGTTAATCCTAGAGGTGCATGTGTGCAAATTGTTTTGTTTTCATGTTTATCTAGAAATTAGGGTTGTCTAATGTTTGCTTTTAGTCTTGACATGCAAACCTTAATTACTAACAATAATAAGGAAAACGGTAAATTGTGGAATTTAAATGTCCTACGCTATTACAATGCTTTGGGGATGGGGGTATAAGTTTGTGAATAAGGGGAGAAAAACAATAAAACCCTAATTATCTATTACAATCCATAAACAATTACATGACTATAATGATGCGAGAAATAAACAAACACGTAGAGATAAAAAAGTGTTTTTAAGAAACCCTAAAAAGTTCTAAGTATTTGAGAAAATAATTTGTTATTTCTTTGTTTAGAAAATATTTGCAATGTGAGGTAAAAGCTTAGACCTAATTCTATTTACAATAAAATAAGGTATAATAAAATTAATTAATTTATATCTATGAAAATTAAATTATTTAATTAAGATCTAAAGTAATCTAAGTATTTTAGAAAATATTTTGTATCTGTTTTAGAAAAAATAGAAGAAGTATATAAAACCTAAATTTAATAAAATCAAGATGGTAAAAATAATTTATATTTATCAAAAATTAAATTAATGGATAAAAAAACCTAAATCTAACCTTTTTTATTATTTTATAAATTTTCCGATTAAATAAAATAAAAAAGAATTAAAAAGAAGAATTAATAAAATAAAAATAATAGAATGTGCATGGGTGTTGTAAAAGGAAAACGGGGGTTGAAAATAAAAGTCTAGGCACAAGAAGATCCTTTTGTTTAAATCAGAAATGAATAAAAAAAGAAATGGGCCTAATTGTTTTAATAAAAGGGGGGGTGTATGAAAGAAAATCAGTCAAGCACAAAATAATGATCCAGACACCTAAGGATCCAGCGTACACAAGTTTGAGAGGGTGCACCCAGGTCCCTTTAGACAAATGACTTAGCGTGCTTATTTACCAATGAGGTGACTGTTACATTCGGTGGTAAAATAACTTGCACTAAATTTATAATAAACTCAACCCTTATTGCACTTCATCTCCTACCTTGCGCCAGAACAACAACACCATTGTTTTTTTTTTAATTCTGAACTTGCTCATTTCTCAACCATTTTCAAAAATGTAAACATGAAAGTTTCTTATTTTTTCACCATGAATCCAACCATGCAAATAACTTAAGCTATAAATATTGATGAACATGAATTTTGCTTGGTACCAAATTAAAACCTAATTTTTCAGAAAGTTCAACTTCAAAATTCTCCACGTACAATTAATATAAATGAAAACTAAAGGCATGGTTAGCTTTAGGACAATGATGTATATATTTTTCATTCACAAAGTAATCATTAATGATGCTTGTATAAGGAGTTCAAAGTTGAGAAAACTTACCTCAGAACTGGAAATCGTGTTTGAAGTTGGAGCATTTCTGGAGATGTTTTGGTGATCCGGATAGCTTCACTGAACTCCTAGGAAGCTATTGCAATGCTTACTTTGAGTTGAAAGTGTCTGAAACTTTCTAGAGAAGTCAAGTTGCAGGTTGTTGTTTTTGGAAATAGAGGATGATGAAGACGGTGTTACAGTTGTGTAACAAGTGTTTGGATAGCCTCTATATGAGTTATAAAAGCTTTGTGAATGATTTAGAATGAAAACGCACGAGTGGATTTGGTATTTGGAATTCAAAGTCAGAATGTGCAACAATGGAGGTTTTAAATGCTAATTCTGATTTCAGGGAGTTTGAGGAGGTTTGAAGGCTATTGAATCCGTGTGTTAGCTTGCAAATAGCTTCTCTATTTATAGGCAAGAGGTATTGGAGGCTTCAAGTAACCAGGAATTCAAAATGACATGTTATGGTTTGGTTACTTGGATTTGAAGCAAATTTGAAATACATTGTTCCAATGTATAGTACAAGCATGGTCTGGGATGGATATAGACTTTAGATATGTCGCTTCTGGATTTGACATTGTGTATGTTCAGAAGAAACAAGTGCAAGGCTCAAGGAGAGTGAACTTTGTGATTAAAGTCACTTTTCCAAAATGGAAGTCTTGGCTTTCTTCCCTAAATGACAAGTTAACTTGGACAAAGCTTGAATCACTTGGACAATTGATTAATCAACTGTGTAAATATTAAATTATTGAGTGATTTGCAAGTTAGAAGGCCTGAAAAGCAAGATTATGCAACAATCAGTTGTCTTCAGATCTTTTAACTTTGTCTTCTTAAAATAGGTTTTCTTTTTAGAAACTAAGTTTTTAGCATCTGGACTTCAGTAGAAATGTTGTCTTCAGATCTTCTAACTTTGTTTGTTTGGAACACATTGTCTTTAGAAACTTGAGTCTTTAGCATCTAAACTTTAGCAGATACTCAAGTCTTCAGATCTTCTAATTGTTTCCTTAGAACACATTGTCTTTAGAAGCTTGAGTCTTTAGCATCTGGACTTGAGTATAAACTTCTGTCTTCAGATCTTCTGACTGTTTCTTCAGAACTTATTGTCTTCAGAAACATGAATCTTCAGCATCTGGACTTAAGTAGCAACTTCTGTCTTCAAATCTTCTGACTGATTCCTCTAGACAAACACCAGAGCCTACACTTCAGAGCCTTTTGGAGTGTCTTGCTACTGTTCAACAGAAGTTGTGTAGCACAGAAACATAATTAATTCTCTTCTAATGTCTTGGCCACACCATCCATCAGAAGCAGAACCTGTTTGTTAAGTACTCAACAATAACAAGCATTAAAGTATCAAAATTGTTCATACAAATATACTCATTTGTTATCATCAAAACTCAGAGATAATATTGCAGAATCAAATCTTGTTCTTACAATATTTAAGTCCAGTTCTCTTATTTACTAGATTTACAGTTAGGTGTGATTTTCTTGTCCACCTTTAAAACCATATATTTGCTTCCAATAAACAAAAACATGTATCCAACGGCCAAGACGAATGCTTCAACTACATGCTTCCATTTGAAAATCAGTTTTACATATTTATAATTGTAATTTGCTTTTCTATAAGTCAAACCAAACAATACAATTAGGTTGTTTTGAATTGACAATAGACAAAATTGATTATAATATAATTGAATTTAATAAAATTAATTTTTATTTAGATTCATTTATGTAAAAGTGAATCGAATAATAAATTAATTTATATTTAAATATATTTAAACATAATTTATTTATGTTTAGATACAATTAATTTTGGAGATTGAAATTACAAATTCTACTTTAAATAAAATGAATTATAAAGACAAAATCAATTTTCCTTTTGATAAATCAAATATTTCATAATTATCCCGTGGAACCAAACTTACATGCTAATAGTCAATACGACGTCGTTAGCCCGTGCGTTATCTCTGTCCATCATCATCACAAACACGAACACGGTGTATCTCTCCGCTCTTCTACGGCGGCGTCTGTTCGGAAGAAGAAGAAAAAAAGATGATGCGAACTCGATTGTTATGGTTCAGCGTAGGATTCGCCTCCTCAGCTGCGGTGGTTTCTCATTTCATTTGGAAGGATCTCTGGGTTGACCGTCACGCTTTCTCTTCTCATACGACTCATCAATTCGAAGCTCTTCAAACTCGAATCTCAAATCTCGAATCCACTTTGCTGAATCAAAATCCAGTTTCCAATCACGATCAGGTATTAATCTCAATTGCACTAACCAACACTAGTTAGGTTTTTTTTCTTTCTTTTACTTTGTTTTCATTCTCATATTTTTCTCATGTCAATGTCGGTTGTGATTAGGTTTAATTTATTCGTTTTCATAAATTATTACTGGTGTTCAAGTGTTTGTGTTAGTGTCGTGTTTTAGGTGTATGTGCTTGAGAGTCCAACATTTGGTAAGATAATGCTTAAATATGTGTATATAAGTTGGAGACGCGTTTCATTTTACAAATTGATTTTGTAGGCATGAGTTATGCCCTATGAAGCACGGACACCCTGAATTTGACTCCGACACTGATAATAATTTGAAAAAATAAATAAATTAAACGTAATCACAAGTGTTAGTGTCCGATACCGACACAGACACACCTTTTTTCAGATGTATCGGTGCTACATAGGTTATGCCTACTCAAATTTTAAAAACCGTTGAGTGTAATGTGGTATGTTTAGAGTCGCGTGATGGATGAGATATAGTATGAAAATATGTTTATATAAGCTAGAAGGATGGTTTATCTACCCTCCAAGTTAGATTTGTAGGATTGAGTTATGTCGAATCCTAATTTTGAGATTGTTAGAATTAGTTGGAAACTATTAAAGTTTGTTGCAAATTGGTTAGGGTATTAGTTATCTTGTGAGGATTAGTTAAGCTTAGTTAGAATCACTATATAGAATGTATCTTACACTCATCGTAATCGGGTTTTCTAATTTCATCAATTTCAAATAATCAATCTTTCTCTAATTTTTTTGTCAGGCTACCATTTTTTTTTTAATTTGTACAACATATCACTTTAGTTCTCATCTTTTTAAATTCTATTTACTAAATAGAGAAAGTCTTACTAAATAGAAAATGAGGCTCGCGTGGTTAAGTGGAATTCATATATATTTTACTTAATAAAGGAGAGTCTAGAAAGAAAAAAAAAAGCATTAGAGAGTGTGTTGTTAGCATTGTTCTTCTTCTTATTAGATAAATAAGAGAAGGTGTTTGTGGTTGTGGAATAATATGAGTTTAACCTCACCTATTGATTAAGAAAATGTAGAAAAACTCCACTGATATGTTGCCTAATGTGTGAGTTTTGATTATGGTGTAGGATGCTTGTTATCTTCTCTATAGCTTAGAATGGGTTTTTGTCAAGTTCTTGCAGCAAGGACTTTGGAAGCAACTCTAGTCTTTTGATATGGACTATGAGAACCATGCTTTGTCCATAGCAAGTTTTATGGTTGTTGAAGCGGTTATTGGTATTCTGATTGATGGTGACATATTGCCATTTTCACATCATAAACAATTTGTATGTTGCATTTTGAATATATTTAGCAGGATTGCAGTATCCTTAGACCAAAAAGTTTTATGAGTCCTATGCTGCTACCTCCTACCACCATTAGTTTACATATTATATGATACTCATTAGTAATACTCATTAAAAATAAATGGCAGCTCAGTGTCTTGGTGCATAAGTTTAGGAGTTGATATATCCAGTATTGTTGGTCTAGTAGGAAGAAGACTGGGCTCAGGTGGGAAAAGTGGATAAATTTACAATAATCTGATGCTCTAAATCTTATGATTAAAGGGGGCAGAAGAAAGTCTAAAAAAATGCAAGGGGGAAATATTAAGAATGCCCGTGTGTTAGAAATGGTTTTGCTAAAAAAATTGCTTTTGATAGATCCAAATGCCATTTGGTTAATTCATCATTTAACTGTTTAACTGACCCGCCTAGTGGAATAAGGACTAAGGCTGGGTTCTATACTACAAAAGAAACCACTTTCATCCAATGAAATGTCATCTGAGTGCTATGTAATTACGAGACTGGCTACTTTTACATCTGTAAGTGAGGTTATGAAATTAAATACTATTTTTTTATGCGTCTGGTGAAAGAGTAGTGTAATCTAGTACATTCTTTCATAAAACATGTACATGAGCTTTGACTGCATTTTTTTAATCCTGCTGACCTTTTAATTTTTCAAGGTACATTGAATACTTGAACATCTAGAAATTCTAATCTTGAATTGAAATATATATATATATATATATATATAACACTTGAAGGAAGCAAAACTAGATTGAGGCACATATTAAGTGTATATGTTCTTTCCTCCTAGACTAAATCTATAATATTTTCTGCTGTTAATTAGAGCTAGGAGAGAATTTGGGCAATAGAGATTCAGTTATAACTGTTTTGATTCTTATAATTATGTTTTTGATAGTTCTGATGTCTATTGTCCTCAGAAGTGGTGTATTGATAATGCTTTTATTTTCTTTGACAGGTTGAAGGCTAGATATTCAGCTCCAGTAAATTGCTTTATACAAGGTTCTAAGAGTTTTATGCTTGCTTCGAAATGTTTGTAGCGGAAATGTCCTAAATAAAACAGATTGCTGATGCAAAACCTTAACATTCTTACCTGCTTTTGTCTCCCTTGGAAAAAAGAAATGAGTTTAGGAAAAATTTACTATTTGATGTTACCAAATATTTTTAAAGAAATGGTTATATAGTGCATGGTATGCTTATATTATGAACTGGTAACAGTTTTATCTGTTGTTTCATGTTTAGTGACTTCGACCACAAGGACAGAAGCTGGAACTTTTTACTATATTACCATATTTGTTTCTGTTTAACAGTTTCAACATCCCATAAGCGAGATAAAGTTACTACATATTAAAATCATGTAGCATCTGAGCAAAGCCCCCTTATGTTTTGAAGTATTTTCAAGAAAATTTGTGTCAAAATGAATGTGTTTTTTGTAAAAGGTATCAATAAAACTTATTGCATGTTTTGGCGAAATCATGTAGCATCGTGATTTTATTGAAGCTTACGTTGTGATTTCGTCATTCTCATTGTCAATTCAAACATGCACTTGTTTAATTTTGAAATATGTTCTTAGTCATGATCATCAAGTCATGTAAATGTCCTGAACCAAAAAATAAAAAGGATTTAATAGGAATACCGACAGTATAAAGCAGTTTTACATCATAACCGTTATTTTTTGTGGAATGTTGACTTTTTCTTTAAATTGCATATAAAATATTTCTTCTTTAAGGGTTGTGATGCACTGACCGTGTAAAATATGTTACACCGTCAGTGCATTACCTTTTTAAATTCGTTCATAAAATCATATACATCTAATTGCAAGTTGATCAAAACAACACTTTATATACCATATAATGCATAGTCAATGAGCCAAGAAATATTGAACTTTATGCTACATCATTTGCAACCAAAAAGAAAATTAATCAATCTTTCCATACAGGAATAATCCCCTGTGCTGCCAAACGTTTTTCAACCCAAAAGACAATGTGTTTTGAAGTAATTTTCTTCTCATCAACGAGAAACGGTTCAACAGTGCTTGCCCCTGAGTTATAAGATGACAGTGAAAACCCCTTTGGACCTATTCAAGCACATAATGATGGTAGCATTTGTTAATAACAAGCGCGTTTAAATCAATGTTAATGAGGAATCAGTTCCTTAATAGCAGGCACAAATTGTACATACCAGTAATTCCTGTGGGAAAAAATGCCCAAAATGAATAAGGATTCCCTTTTTTCAGAAAGGAACCTTCCAACTGTCAAACAGAAAATCAAAGAGATCATTATAAAGAAAGTAATCTGAAAAATGACACAAGACATGCATAACACAGCAACATTACAAACCTTATTGTCCTGAAAAACCAACTCAATATCAGAGAGATCTTTATTGGATTCTAAGATTGTTTTCAATGAAGGAATCACATCCTCTTCCATCATTTGAGGTAAAGGCTTGACCGGAGCTTTAGCAGGAGGAGCCTTCTTCTCTGTTGTTGCCTTTGGAGCTGCTGCCTTTACCTCCTCCTTTGTTTCAGCAGTAGCTAAAACCACAAATACATAATTTGATACATCTGTAAAAATAAAAAAAGACAAGAACGGCGTAAAGCCAAACCAAAGTTTTGATTACGATCGTGTAGAAACATACCTGATGTACTAGTAGTAGATGATTCTTGAACTGCAGAGCAAATTATCTTGTTTCTACTTGCCGTTTTAAATCTACTTGCAATCTGCAACACAAGAAAAATACACATTAAAACTAATCATGTAGTCAGATAGACAGACAGACAAATAGATAGACAGACATGTACATAGACATACCAAAGATAGTGTTGGTGATGATGATGAGTTGGGTATGACAACATTTTGAGAGACATGTAAAGAAGATGTTGAAGTTAAAGAACACAAACGAAAGGTGGAATCTGCAAGTGCTCCACCTCTTAACAAAAGTGCCATTTGCATTATGATTCCAGTGAATTTTTTCTTGTTATTTTTTATTCCATTTTCTGTCACTGGTTTGTTGATGATGTTAGTGAGAAGCATACGTTGGAGGAACAAAATGAATGAGCCTTGTGATCCACATGGTTCCTCAGACAATATGTACCACTGGTTTTTTTTTTTTTTGCCTTTTCTTTCTATATATCTATTTAATTTAAGAAAAAACATATAGAAACTTAAAACACTAGAATACAAAATAACTAGTAGGGGCAAATATTGTGTGATTGAGTATCATGCCAATGTAATAAAAAACCCAAAGGCAAATATTGTGTGTATGAGTATCAATCATGCCAATGTAATAAAAATTTCTTACTTTCCCAATTTTTTTTAAAATAAATTTAATATCATAATTTTAAATAATAAATAGATAAAGCATTATTGTTTAATAGTGAAACAAAACATGACTAAATATAAAATATTTTTAATAAAAAAAGAACAAGTTAATGAAAGATAATTTAGGTGATAAAAATTATAAAATTATATGAACATTGGTGCTAATGGTCACATCCTTATATAATTATTTAGTCTTGCATAAATATACTTTTAAAAATATTATTATTACTAAAATTATATAAATTCGAAGAAATAGATCAATAAATAAATAAAAAATTATATAAATTAACCAGAGATATTCAACTGAATTTTTTGCTACTAAAATATGATTCATCAAATAAATTATACATAATACATGTAATTCATCCACTTAATTTCCTGCTTACTTGGTCTAAATTACAAAGAAGCCTAACATTGCCCTATCATGCATACCAAAAGGTATCTATCATGTGAAGAAAAAGTACCTTACAAAATTAAGAATGTATTATACTAAGAATAAAATGCAAGAAGAATAAGTGTTACTCCATAGCAGCAAAATAATTTGTAGTTTTCTACAACGCAGCCAATCTGATTCAACCAGACTAGTTTTTCTTGGTTGTTCTATTTCTCTTTCTGGTTGGCGGCGGCGCATCCTTAGAAAGAAGCTTTTTCTGCTTAAATTTTTGAACCATGTTGTACACCTGAAATAGTATATACCAATTTTAAGATACGGAAATACAGTATCAAGATATAAAGTAAGAATAAGAAACTATGAATTTGATTATTTAATCAAAAGAGTAAGATAACGAGTCTTGTTGGTTTGAGAAAACATTCTCCATACACCGAAGTATGTAGTACTTAACATGAAGGTCCAGAATTCAAATCTTGGAAACTAGCATAATCTACTAATTTACTAACATTTTCCTATAAAAACGATGTGCCGTGTTGCTAAGTGTGTCGTAACATATTACCTTTCTTACACTGGTTGTGAGTCCCATGCTTGAGAGGGCATTGCTGTCAACGCATTTCCAAGTTATAGTTTCGTCGTCCTCGCTTTTGATCAAATCATCTACTTTCCCTTACAAAGAGTAAATATGATGTTGAGAAACAAAAAGATTAAATTCAAAATGTAATGTTATACTGGAAGAGGTTCAAACCTTTCAATTGTAACACTAGCAATTCGACATACAACTTGAGGCGAATGTGACTAAAAATGTGAACAAATTCTCCGACATCTTCCCTCAAAATAATATTACCAGTCTTCTTTATGTCAATTTTGAGATCTTTTTTCAAGAAGCAGTCTGTTGCTTTTCTTCTAGCTAATGGAGCCGTTTCTCTGGCTACTAGGACAGACGGAAACTCCCATAGACCGGCAAGCAATCCTTCATCGGGCCGTTTTACGAGAACAAATTTGCTGCTAGATTGTTTTTCATCTCCAAGTAATTCAACAACACATACAGCTGAAAAATCGGATCTTTGTTTAACCTTCACACCCTTAATCGGATAATCTGTAACCGCTGCTGTACTGTCACGTTTAGCGATTGATAGTGCATGACAAAATTCGGATGCTGGACACGAGGAACAGCTTGGGTTCAAAGGGGTGCATACAGTTGCACCAAGTTCCATGAGAGCCTGATTGAAGTCTCCCGGACGAAGAGGATCGACCAACTGAGCTGCTATTTCCCTTAATCTCCATTCCAACACATATCAAAATAAAATAACAAAATAAGTAAAGGAATAAAACGCAACCAGGTGATTATAAAATCTTACGAGAAAAAATGATGAATAACTTGTTCCAGAAGTTTACAAACACTCACCAAAATCTCTTAATGATTGCCGAGTCTTTCGGATTTTCAGAAACAGCCCTTAGTCTGGCAATGACCCTTATCACATTTCCATCAACCACAGGTACCGCCTGATAATTTAGATCATAAGAAATAGCTGATAGTTACTTTTCAGTAACAAGAATTACAGAAGCTACAAACCTCTTTGAATGCTATAGAGGCAATTGCTCCAGATGTATAGTCTCCAATTCCAGGAATCTTTCTTAACAAAGAAGCCGTTTTAGGAATACTGCCTCCTTCTGCAACTATTTTCTTTGCGCCCTAACAAATGTAAATTGTTTTCATAAACTATCCCAAAAAGCTTATAGGCATGTCATAAATTGTTTCCATAAACTCGCGCACACTCTCACTAGTGTCAGCGTCAATAGATAAGCTCAAATAAGTCAATCTAAACAGGCCTAAAGAGTAAAGACTAATATTAAAAATTCAAACTGTCCACGATCTATTATAAGGGAGACTGGTAAGGTGTAGTAAAGGGAAAAACAATGTAGTAGTGAGAGATCACCTCTAAAAGAAAACGAGCTCTCCGATAGTAACCAAGACCAGCCCAAATCTCATTCACTTCCTGCACGAAAATGTCATTTTTCAGACGTGTCAGTGCTAGATAGTTACTACTAAACCATGTTTTGGAAAATAAAAAAGAAACAATATTTATAAACAAAAAGGGAAAGGTTAAGGGAATGAGTGAAAACCTCAAGAGAAGCATTTGCTAGATGATGAATGGTGGGCCACTTAAGCATCCAACGGTTATAATAAGCTATAACAGTCTGAACCCTTGTTTGCTGTAACATAATCTCAGAAACCCAAACACCATAAGCTCTCTTTTCCACTTCTTCTTCTTCCTCTTTAACATTGCTATGATTGGAGATGGTTCTCCAAGGAAGAACCCTATGGTTGTGATCGTACCAATCCAATAGAACCGCTCTCAGTTTGTGGGTTTCATCTTTGGAGAAGAAGGACACTGCATCTTCTATGTCTTCCGTTTTCACCAAAGTTTGTGTCTTTTTGCTGACCCCATTAACGTTACTCCTTTGGGTTTTGTTCTTCATTTGATTCTTGTCTGACATTTTGATGTTGGAAATTTGTGTTAGTGGTGATGGTAAAGTCAGAAACATAAAATGGGTTTAACGACTCTTCTTTGTCCAACGTTGGTGTCGTTCAACTCATCATAGTGATAGGTATCAATAGCGGCACCGTACTTTTTTTTTTTTGACCAAACGGCACCGTACTTATCACCTATGTAAATTTGAAATTGTGCATAGTTGCAAATTTGAATTTTTTTCCAATATGCCACATTTTTGAAATCAATTTCTCAAAATGCCACGGTTTTTATCTAGAATACCATATCTAGGGGGTTCACGCCATTTGAAATAGCGTGAATGTGGGTAACAAAGGCTCATGTCAAATCAAATAGCGTAAAAAATCTGATTATTTTTTTCTCTCGTTTTCTTGCATATATGTTATTTATATTAATAATTTTAATTATTTAATTTTATTATTAATTACAAATTTTTTTTTAATGTTTTCTTGCATTTATGCTATTTAGTTATAAAATTAATTAATAAAATATTAATTTAAAAATTTAAATAATTATAAACTTAAAATAACTATTTAACAATTACAATTAAATAATAATTTTTTTATTAAATAATAAAATTTCACAATTACAATTAAAAAATAATTTTTTTATTAAATAATAAAATTTCACAATTACAATTAAAATAATAAATAAAAAATACAATTAAAATTACACTATTTAATGCTGATGACCCGGTCCAAAACGAGTACCATTAAAACAATAACGCGGTCGCGGAGTAAACCAAAACCATATTGTTGTTCGATCTCTGTTGTTGGAGGATTTTGTTGTGTTGCATCTGATGTTGGAGGATTTTCTTGACTTGACTAGGAGTTGTAGCTTGCAGAGGAGACCAAATGCTTTCCAGTAAATCATAATCACTGACGTTAAGATCCTCGCCAAAATTATATTGAGTTTGTTGTGGCGGACACATGGTTGGAAAATAAGGCGTTGTAGGGTTATGTTGGAAGGAGGAGGAATCGAAGTTTGGTAGCATGATGGGTGTGAATTGCGTAGTTGGTCTATTATAAATTTGTGGTTGTTGGGATTCATAAATGTAATTTGGTTGGGAGTGAGATTGTGGGTATTAGGTGTTAAAGGTTTGATTTTGGTAAAAATAAGGGGTAAGAGTTTGTAGTTGAGAAAAATGAGGGTTAGAAATTTGTGGTTCAGGATAATGGGGATGAGTGTTTGATGTTGGAAAAAGTGAGGAGTTTGTTGTTGGAAGGATTGAGGATGAGGAGGTTGAGAATGTTGTGAGTGGTGAGATTGTTGAGAGTCACTTGCCTGAGTAGGGGCATATTGATTTTGACGAGGGTCAGTGAAAAATTATTGGTACCATGCATATCTATGTGGAAGCGGGTGATACCATTGTATGTACTCATTTGACGGTTTCTCCTCTGTAAAACAATTCTCGATACAACCAACAATTTTGTTCATCAGAGTATAATGTGGTATATGCTTTTTGGCGCGCTTTTATTGTTGTCATCTTATGGTGTTCAGGTATCCCTTGTAAATGGTCAAATTGTAGTTTGACCCTATCTGCTTGATGCATTTCTACAATATGAAAACATATTATATACGTAGTTGAACTCCATATCAAACTGTCCTCGTGCCTTTGGGGCGCTAATCCAAGATACGACCTCCAAATAAACTGAAAAGTTATAGATAAAACTTCTTAGTTTAACCAAAATAAAATTCATAAATTTATAAGAAGTATTAAAGTGAAGACAAAAAAACCTGATCTTGAAGCATGTGATCGGTATCCTTGTAGATGGTGGTGCGGGTTGTTTTGGTAGTCAAGTTTCTTGATGCACCACCTAAAAAGAATTTAAAATTAAACTTTATTTTAAAGTATCCTAACAATTTTAATTATAAATTTAAATTTAAATTAAAATATTATCTTCTTGCCTAAGGATATGGAGCTTGAAGCAGAACCACCGAAGATATTATAGGCATGTGTGTAAAAGCCCAAGCTTGAAGAAGTAAAACGCATCCTGACATCTCTGTTACTTTTATGTCTACAGACTTGCACATTTTCCTATATAGATTGGCTAAAATGATGGAACCCCAACTCAATTTTCCATAATCTTCCAAATCCATCCACAACAAATTGTGTCCATTTTGATTGTATAGTATTACCGCTTTTGTTAGGAAACAAAACTTGCCCGATAAGGAGTAAAATATAAATACGAGCATGTTTAATTTTATACTCCTCAGGTGACTCCTCAGTTGGTGGTTCATGTTGGTTTGGTGGTTCATGTTGGTACATGTCTTTAAGCCATGTCAACCTCGCAGTCATTCTCTTATGACTTTGTGGTGGTTCATCCCCTAAAATAGAACTCCATGCACCACTAGCTCGGATGTACCATTTACCGCTTTACCATCTACAGGAAGCCCCAATAACGTACTCAGATCTTCCAATATAATTGTGCATTCACCGTTTGGAAGATGAAATGTATGAGTTTCAGGTCTCCACCGTTCCAGTAAGGCTATAATTAACCTTGAATTGATGTGTGTGGACCCTATTGTAGATACATGATAGAAATTAGATTGGTGAAAGTAAGAGATTATGACTGCATGTGGCTTTAGAGGTTTGTGAGCACGAATTCTCCATTTTGAAATATAAGTATCATCAATCTGTAATAGAAATAAGTAATATAGAAAAATATTCAACATTTCTATGCAAATTATGAATAAAACTAATATCGTAAACTCAAAAATAAATAATATGAATAATATCGAATAAATAAAAAATACTTACAACATTGATATTTTCTACTGTTCTCCTATGTTGTGTACCATACCAAAATATATTGCCCATAATTGTGAAAATGAAGAACTGATTGAAGACTTAACAAAAGAGAGTAGAGAGTGTGTAGTGAATAAAATGTAGTGTGTTAAGAGAGTAGAGAGTGTGTAGTGAATAAAATGTAGTGTGTTTGTGGAAAAATGAGGTGAGAGTGATTGAGTATTTATAGGAAAAATGAGGTGAGTGTGATGATAGTTGGTTGGTAGTTGAATAATTTAATTAATTGTGGTTGATAGGTAGTAGAGTAATTTAATTAGAGTTGATAGGTAGTAGAGTAATTTAATGAAAGTTGAATAAATATAAATTTGTATACTTATTGAGAATATTGTAAATTACACAGTTTTATACACAATGATAAAACTTCATCGGCTGATCTACTGAATCTGACATACAACTCAAATGGTATTTTATTAACACCAATTCGAAAATCCTCAAACATGTTAAATACATTTGTATTTGTAACTAATTTTGTAATATGCTGCATCAACACTCCATTTTCGTTGATTGTAGCCTGGTTGAAAGATATCTTTGTAATGCTCCTATTAATATTTGTGATTTGACGTAATTGATTTTTCAAGTGAATGAGTTTAGATCTTTCCATAAGTCGTACAAACAAAGGATTAGAAAATGCATTTCTATAATCAAACATAACAACTTGTGAATTATACGAAATAATGTATACTGAGCAAAGTATCAGAGTCATTTTAATCTGAAAACAGAATCATTTAATGTTGCATTTATATGCATGGCACGTATGCTATTCACGCCAGGCTACAAGGCTTCACGCCATTTGACTTGGCGCAAACCAAGGGTTCACGCCATTTGACTTGGAGCGAGTATGCTATTCACGCTATTTGACCTGGAAACTACAAGGGTTCACGCCATTTGAGTTGGCGCGAGTGTACACGGACCAAGGCTTCACGCCATTTGACTTGGTGACAACATGCATGCAATAAATCCAACAAATTGCTGTTTGTTTATTAATACATGCATGCAATAAATCCAACATAGCTGTTTGTTTATTAATACCAACGTAGTTGTCTCTTATTCAAACAATTGAATATTAATTCAAACACAATTCCACAAAATCATATTTCTTGTCTCTTACATGTCAATGGTAATATTTTTACCGACGAAAATATTGGGGTGGTCTTTCAAAATACGGATACACATATTTTAAATATTCATCGAAAAAGTGATTTAGCCCACTTGACGAAAAAATAGAAGAAACTTTACAACAACATGTAACTTCTATTTTTTATCGATTTCCAATAGTTAATCCAGTTGATCACAATGTCACATACAACACTGCAAAAATCGAAGACGATGAAGATGTCCGTTCAATGCTTCAATGCCACTCAAGGTTTTGCAGTCAACAAACAATGGAGTTGTATATTATATTTTCAACAAATGCATGAAGTATATCCAACAAAATCATCACAAACTCATGCATATCAACAAAGTCAGGTCTCCCAATAATAAGAGTCTGTCCAAGCACAACATAACGATCCAATATTTCTGGAAGAGGAAGTGGGTGATGATACTGACTCTGACGATGCAAGACAAATTAATTTGTTTAGTGGGTCCAGTGATGAGTCAGGTGAAGATGACAGACTGGAGGCAGAACCGGTTCCTATACTTGATCTATACAATCCATCTTATCACTTAAGAAATGTTTCATTTGAATGTGTGGAACCAATTTCAGTCTTTGAACCCTTAGACAAACGTGAGTCACGTGATGACTTAAAGGTTGGTATGACGTTTGAAAACAAAGAAGCATGTCTCTATGCAATATCTGAGTATCACATAAAAAATTCTCATACTTTTAAGGTTTATAAGTCTGATCCGACACGATATTTAATTAAATGTAAAAAGGAGGGATGCAACTTCACATGTAGGGCTTCGTTAAGGGAGGGGTGTGGTAAATGGGTTATGCAGAATTAGAGGGCCACACACTTGCATGTCGACTGCTATATCTCAAGATCACCAAAAGCTTACCTCAAAGATGATCGCCTATAACATCAGACCTCTTGTTGACAGTGACGCGACAATCAAGGTTAGACATATTATTGCTCATATTCGTACAACTTATGGCTACACCGTGTCTTACAAAAAAGCATGGATTGCAAAGAACAAAGCAATCGATAATATTTATGGCAATTGGGAGGCCTCTTACAACAACCTTCCACAGTGGTTGCTAGTGGTTGCTAGTCATGCAACAATTTCTC